GGAGACAGGGTCCCCCCTGCACCGTACACCGCACCCCGCGCACACAAACAAATTAGAATAAATTAAATTCATAAGATTATTTATATATTTCGACTGCCTCGGTGGTCACACCGCTTTACATCCGATGGTCGCGGGTTCGATTTCTCGCACGGTGCAAACATTTGTACTCATCGGTCATCGATTGTTTTCATCGGTCTGGGTGTTTTATATGTATTTACAAAATAAAAATATCTATTTATATCAGTTCAGTATCAGTCTGTGTTAATTGTCCAGGGCTATTTATTATATTTTTATAAACGGTTATCTTTTTCCATCGCACCGCTCGCTATCGACAGTGAATTCATAGAAATGTCACTCTAATAACAAAAATAGTTTTGTGTTTTGTATTTCAAATACTAAATGCAAAATAGGTATTTTCAAAATACTTTTTCAAAATAAAGTACCTTTTGAATTTTTGTCCAAACCTCAGATATTTTAGGTATATCAATCATTACATAGTGTAGTATAAAACAAAGTCGCTGTCGCATCTAACAGTACATAAACAAAGAAAGAAGACTTTTTGGCTCTGATACCGTAACGGCCTATCAATTATGAATTTATTATACCTAATCTAGATATTTTATATTCGCAATGCTACATACATTGTAATATCCGCCTCCATTCATTGTAACGGTGGAGGGACTAAATAGTTGAATAAAACTGAATAAGCAGTTGCTCCACTCTATAGGTACTGCGTCGTCGTCGTATGCTGTTCATTTTTTCACTCGTTTTGGCGCCAAGAGAGGGTCACATAGTCGTGGTCAAGTTAAGAACTTATAATTTAATTTTGATAACAATAGATACAAGTAAAAAGTAGGTATTATATTAATGTACGTAAGTACTGTACTTAAAAATATTTATTCTTTATTGTACATTTGAAAAACTTAACACTTAAGGACTTGTACATATACACGTACGTACTGCCATTTTCTCTTAAAGACATCCAGAGAAGCACTATTTATCAAATACGCGGGGTGCACCGACCTTTGACCTTATAACAGCTGATTCGCGCGTAACGAATTACATTGCTACTTACATTACTATTTTATAGTGGATATTTCACTATAAAATATTATTATTTCTTTAGATTATGACGTAATAACATAGTTTACATGATTTTAAGGGAAACATACGATAAAAAAAATTCCCGTAAAATGTAAAAGATAAAAAATGGTTATTGTTGGTTATCCTTAAGAGATAGACATATACCATCACGGACTTTTTTGTTGACCTTATATTGATACATCTCAAAGCACTAGACAATACGCATTTTCATTAAACAGTAGTATATTTTTATTTATTTATTTAACTTTAATGCACAAAAAAATTTGTACATGTGGTGGACGTAATATCTTGCCGCGTTAATTACCAGGCAACTATGAGTGGTGCAGAAAAAGATTATAGGCGGTGCACTAATATAAATAAGAAATGTCAAAAAAAGATTTATAAATACAAAGCAAAATATAAATTTTTGTAAAAAAATAACAATATACATACATAAATATATATGTAAATATAACCCATAAATGTATAAATATTCTATATAAATAAATACATAATGATCCGATAATCAAATTATAAGTACAGTCTCAAATTGAAAGTAAGAAAAACAGAAAATATAGACAGAACTATAGGGATATATCAGAAAGATGTGAAAAAAGGAGAAGGACAGTAAAAAAGTTAGAAATTTAAATAATGTTGCCGCAATTTCTGTTTAAATGAATTTATTACATTATTATATATATTAGGCATACGACTAGCCTTGTGACTGTTACTTTTTTTTTAATCTATACATCTATACATGTAAATAAAATTGGAGTGTCTGTTTGTAATATTGAAATAACCGTTTTTTACTACTTGCATATGAATATAAATACGGTACATACACCAAAATAACATATTTTACAAGTTTTGTCTGTCTGTCTGTCTGTTTGTTCCGGCTAATCTCTGAAATGGCTGGACCGATTTTGACGGGGCTTTTATTCGCAGGTAGCTGATGTAATAAGGAGTAACTTACGCTACTATTATTTTAGAAAAATAAAATAAAATTTCACGCGGACGAAGTCGCTGGGGCCAACTAGTCTATAGATATACCGAGATTTAATGTTTAAGTTGCTATTATGTTGTTGACAAAATTTTACTGTAATGTTACTATTACGTTATCCTACACAATTTGTATTATTTTGGATGAATAAATAAATAAATAAATAATAATCTATACATCTATACATATAAATAAAATTGGAGTGTCTGTTTGTAATATTGAAATAACCGTTTTTTACTATATGCATATGAATATAAATACGGTACATACACCAAAATAACATTTTTTACAATTTTTGTCTGTCTGTCTGTTTGTTCCGGCTAATCTATGAAATGGCTGGACCGATTTTGACGGTACTTTTTTTGGCAGGTAGCTGATTTATAAGGAGTAACTTAGGCTACTTTTATTTTAGAAAAATAAAGTTAAATTCCACGCGGACGAAGTCGCGGGAACAGCTTGTTTTTAATAAAAACGGTTTATTTGATAGAAAAAACATCTTTTTTGTGGTACTTGAGAATGTTGAAGCCTGTTGTTTGTAATATTGAAATAACCGTTGTTTACTACTTGCATATGAATATAAATACGGTACATACACCAAAATAACATATTTTACAAGTTTTGTCTGTCTGTCTGTTTGTTCCGGCTAATCTCTGAAATGGCTGGACCGATTTTGACGGGACTTTTTTTGGCAGGTCGCTGATGTAACAAGGAGTAACTTAGGCTACTTTTATTTTAGAAAAATAAAGTTAAAAACCACATGGACGAAGTCGCGGGAACAGCTAGTGTATAATATATTAGAGATACCTACGTGTTTTTTTATTGATGACTAGCTGTACACGGGATTTCGACCGTGTGGAATTTAACTTTATTTTTCTAAAATATAAGAAGTTAAATTCCACGCGGACGAAGTCGCGTGTACAGCTAGTTGTCGGTAGTCTAGCGATTTATCTAGCACACCGCTTTGATTCCTGCTTGGTGGTCGAGGGTTCGATTCCTCGCACGCTGCAAACATTTGTATTCATGAGTATGATTGTTTGTAACGGTCTGGGTGTTTTCTATGTATAGATAATATATATGTATTTACGAAAAAAAAATCTTTGTATTTATATCAGTTGTCTAGTACCCATAACATAATCTTCAGCTAGCTTAACTTGGGTCTAGATGAAGCTGTGTGAATTGTCCTGAGATTACTATTATTACTATATTAAATCTTTTCAAATCAGCCGATGTTTATTTTTGCCATAATACGTGCTGTTACCATGTGATAATATTACGTACGTACTTATTACTGTTTTAAATGTGATGCGTTCATTATTTATATTTCCTTTGAATTAAAGACAAATGTATATATATATATATATATATATATATATAAATATCCCCTTGGGCACTTTGTGGCTCAGACGTGCCGTATAGGTAGTTTTTTGTTGATCCATTTTCACTTGTTGATCCGGAGGCCTTTTGTTGATCTAATGCCAGCTGACCATATATAAATGTTGATCCGTTTTGAGCCACAACTGTCACGACGAGTAATAATAATAATTAAGCGATTTATACACGATTTTATACAAATCCACCTTTTTGGCATACGACCACTTCTTGATCCAATTCAAACGGGCCAATCAGGGGCAGCATTTGCCAAGGGCTTCCTCATTGGCACGTTTGGGCTACTACATTATGGCTACAGTAACTTAATAATGTCTAGCTAGTATTTCAAGAATAATAGTCTATCTAATCTAAATATTTATAGAAATCAGTCTGGAGTAACGTGACTCCAGATCAAACCTCAATACTTGTTATTTTTTGGACGGGAATTTTTCCTTTTGTAACAACGTTACTGAGCGAATGAAGAGAAGACGCAACGGCGGATCCAGGGGGGAGCGTCATGGAGGTCTTAGGAGTCATGGGGGGTCATGACTCTCCCCCCCCCCCCTTAGCCCAGGATTTAGGTAGACTACTAATTGAACTAAAAAATAATGAAACAGCTAAATTTTTTGCACGATCGGAGTGTTGGTGCAGTGATATTAATTATAATTAAACATTGTTACTTAAAATATAACGCTTAAAGTACTATAACACTAAAAGCAAAATAAGTATTTTCAAAATACCTTTACAAAACAAATTACTTTTTGAGTTTTTGTCCAAACCTCAGATATTTTATTTATTTTAGGTATATCAATCATTACATACTATAGTATAGTATAAAACAAAGTCGCTGTCGCATATAACAAGTACATTGTCTACGCACTCAACGCACCGCTCCGCGGGCTGCGGGGGCGGTGCTGCGCATCGGCAACTGCGGCCGGTGGCGGACACCGGCACTTCTTGTCCGACCGGCATCGACACTTACCGGCTTACAAATAATCCCTCCATTCTAAAATTTATCTGAATCTGTCCGTTGTTCATAACAGTTTTTATATTAAACCTATTAATACAGTCCACTAGTTTCATTGGCTATCCAGGACGTAACATTGGTCCTTTAGGAAATAAACTCGCCATACCTACGAACATCTAGAAGATCGTTATTGAAATCAAGACACGATATTGGTGAACTTTAACCCGGAGGAGCTTAAAACACATCGGGACTTAGTTGCTGTCTTCGGTGGATTGGAAGTCATTCTGTGGATAAGGATAAGGATATTTCGTGAGTCGTTCCAATTATTCCTTATTAATTCCTTCTATATCCATAAATATTTTTTATAGCACTAGCTTTCATTTCTTATAGCACTAGCTTTCATTTCTTTCAATCATAATCATTTTCATCTTTTATTTAAGTGTTACATGTTTATATTACTCATTTCGCATTAGATTCACATCTTTGTAGTAACTATCGCTTGCATAGTTAAAAGTACCTAGATGCGCATCGGCGACCGTCCAAAGGTCAGTCGCTGCGAACAAAAGGCTGACCGGACCGTATTTCTTGGAATTTGCATAGAAACTATTTTACTATCGCTTATTGCGCATATTTGTATTTATTTCTTTTCAATTCGCACTGTCGCAATTTGTTACGTATTAATTTAATTTTAAATTTAGTTGATTACTTTCTCTTTCTTGCAATAATGGCTGATGAGTTTAAATTGATTAAAAAACGTAGCAGCTTGAAAGCTAAGCTTACTACTTTTACCAATTATTTGGACATAGTTAGCAGTTGCCAATCATTGTCGGAACTACAGCGCTTAGAGTTACAAAGCCGATTTGCTAAAATTGATGCCTTATACGAGGACTTTGATAATTTGCAGACAGAAATTGAGTCATTAGATACATCGGTGGCTAAGGTCGAGGAGGCCTACGTTGCTCGCCAACAGTTTGAGGACTTGTACCATCCGCTAGTGGCGCGGGCGCGTAGTTTACTGGCCAGCGTTGCGCCTAGCGAACAGATCTTCGAATGTGCAGTTTCAGGCGGCGCAGCATCGATGCAAGGTGGGAATGGTTCTCGTAATTTTGTCAGACTTCCCAAGGTGGCCCTTCCTGAATACCATGGCAGCTATCAGTTTTGGCTTGAGTATAGGGACACCTACATATCCTTAATACATAAAAACACAGACATAGATCCCATAAATAAATTCCACTATTTACGCGCCTCCCTTAAAGGGAGTGCGGCAGAAATAATTAAAAATTTAGATTTCACAAGTGACAACTATCAGGTAGCTTGGGATTTGTTATGCGAACGCTATAACAATAACCGTCTACTTATTAATAATCACGTGCAAGCTTTATTTAATGCCACACCCATACAAAAAGAATCATGTAGTTCGTTACGACAATTAATAGATTTAATAAATAAAAATTTAAGGGCGCTTAAAACATTAAATGAGCCTACTGACAGCTGGGATACATTACTTGTTTATATGATGTCTAACAAATTAGATCCTATAACTAGCCGTGGCTGGGAAGAATTCAGAAATTCTTTATCCCAATCACCCTCATTGTCCGAGTTTTGTACATTTATAAGCAATAAAGCAGATTTACTTGAAACATTAGAGGAAAAATCAAACTCAAAATTAACAAAACAAGAGTATTTTAAACCTAAAAGTTTTATTATAGCTACAAATAAAAATTACAGTAATACAAATACAAACTTAATTATCAAAAAATGTCCTATGTGTTCTCTAGATCATTTGTTATATACCTGTGAAACATTCAGGAATTTGCCTATTGAAACACGCATTAAAAAGGCAAAAGAATTCAAAGTTTGTATGAATTGTTTACGTTCTGGTCACATAGAAAAAAGGTGTAGATTATCTGGTTGCAAATATTGTAAAAGTAAACACAACACGCTTTTACACTTAGACCAGTCAATACCTTTGCCTCAAATTCATATGCCTTCAACATCTAACAACGTTGCCTTGTCTGCCGATGCTATACAGCCTGCTACTTCTTCGCACATATTACTGTCCACAGCTTTGGTGAGAGTGGTGAGCAACAGCGGCGAGCGGCACGACGCCCGTGTTCTTTTGGACAACGGTAGTACAGCCAACTTCGTCACTCACAGTCTATGTAACAAGCTGGGTATGTCGCGGCGTAGTACGAGCTCCACGGTGACAGGTATCAACAGTCAGACCACTAATAGTACACAGTCTTGTAACCTCGAAATCGAGTCTTATTGCAGTGACTATAAGGTCAATATCAATTGTCTTATTCTGCCTGAAATCACTAAAGTGCTACCATCTTCAGTAGTAGATATTTCTCATATTCCTATCCCCGCAGGGTTACATCTAGCTGACCCTACTTTCAATATTCCGTCAGCCATAGACATCCTTGTAGGGGCTGAAATATTTTGGAACATAATTGGTAGTAGCAATATCGATTTAGGTAAAAATAAACCAAAATTGTACGAAACAAAATTAGGATGGATTGTGTCTGGCCCCGTGGCTCTTTATACCAATTCATTTAGTTCACACTTTTGTCATTTTACGAAAGACATTAGTGACCCTAACCTAGACCGTTTCTGGGAACTCGATTCTGTTTCACCGAAGCATTCGTTGTCATCAGAAGAACGCGCTTGTGAACAGAATTTCATCTTAACTACGACTCGTAACGCAGACGGTCGCTTCGTCGTCACAATGCCACTAAAAGCTGACCCTAAGGTGTTAGGTAATTCATTCGATATGGCCAAAAATCGATTTTTGTCGCTAGAAAGGCGCTTTCAGCGAGATCCCTCATATAAGGATAGATATATGCAATTTATGTCCGAGTATGAATCTTTAGGTCATATGACTGAGGATAAAGAATTTAACTATAATTCAAAAAACACCGTGAATTATTTTATACCTCACCATGGTGTCATCCGCGAGTCGAGCACCACTACTAAATTAAGGACTGTATTTGACGCGTCTGCCGTTTCCACTTCTGGAGTGTCATTAAATGATATTCAAATGGTCGGTCCGACCGTCCAAGACGATCTTTTATCTATCCTGATACGTTTTAGGCAACATAAGTACGTAGTTTCAGGAGACATAGAAAAAATGTATCGTGCTATATTAATACATTCCTCGCAGCGTTCCTTACAGCGTATTATATTTCGTAAAAATCCTACGGAACCTCTTAAATATTATACATTAAATACTGTGACGTATGGCACCGCGTCTGCACCATATTTAGCGACAAAATGTTTAGTTAGTTTGGCAGACGGCGCGAGCGATGAGAATGTAAGGATGTCCATACAACGCGATTTCTATGTGGATGACTACCTAAGCGGTAGTCATACTATTCCCGATACCGTAAAGCTTTGCAAAAAGGTAATTTCTATTATGTCTTCTGCACACTTTAATTTACGGAAATGGCAGTCTAACAGCCCTGAGATTTTATCCGAACTCACAGGTAATTCAAATAATTTAATTGATACCTTAGATCTCTCAAATAATAGTCACGCGTCATCTAAAACCCTGGGTTTACACTGGTTGTGTGATACAGATACCCTATCGTTCTCCATTAATATTGATACAAATAAATTAATCACAAAGCGTCACATCCTATCTGTCATCAGTCAAATTTTCGATCCACTGGGCCTTGTTGGTCCCTGTATTGTGGAAGCTAAAATAATACTGCAGAAATTATGGATTAATAAATACGGTTGGGACGATAAGGTATCGCAAGACATTGTAGATCTGTGGTCATCATTTTCTAGCACTCTAAATTATCTTAATAATATGAGAATATCACGATGGATTTCATGTGACAATTCAATTTCATATGAAATTCATGTGTTTACGGACGCATCGACTAAAGCTTATGGTGCAGCTCTATACGTTCGTTCCATAGACAACAAAGGTTCAGTGAATGTGCAATTATTAGTCTCTAAAAACCGCGTAGCACCTATCAAACCCACAACGGTTCCTCGTCTCGAGTTATGTGGTGCGCTTTTAGGTACAAGACTGTGTACTAAGGTTCTGGACTCTCTTACTGTACCTATTTCTCGATGTCAATTCTGGTGTGACTCCACGATCGTTTTGGGGTGGCTGTCTACCCCACCGAATCAGCTTAAACATTTTGTCAGAAATCGTGTTAACGAAATACAAGAGGCAACCGCTAAATACTCGTGGAGCTACGTACCGTCGAGAGACAACCCAGCAGATCTTGTGTCCCGTGGGATTAAAGCCAATCTTATTATCGACTCCACTTTATGGTGGTCAGGCCCGTCTTTTCTCTCCAACGACTCTAGTCACTGGCCGAAAATGCCTAACGATAACATAGACCAAGATTTACCGGAAGTTTTATCTCATTTTATTGACAATTCAAATAATTATACACATAAATGTTATTCTATTATACATGACTTAACTATTAAATATTCAAATTTTAACTATTTACAACGAATCGTAGCCTATTTACAAAGATATATATACAATTTAAAAAATAAAAATAACAAAAGATATGGATATTTATCTATTGAAGAACTACAAGCTTCATTAACTTGTATAATTCGTACTGCTCAACTCGATATGTTTCCTGTAGAGATTGAAATCATTAAGTCAGGACAACCACTGCCACGTAAAAATAAATTAACTTCATTGTCTCCGTTTTTGGATGGCAACGACATTATTCGTGTAGGTGGCAGGCTTGACAATTCCCCATATGAATACAACATTAAACATCCCATACTCTTATGTAGTAAACACCATCTCACTAGGGCTCTATTTGACATGTATCACAGGCGTCTTCTGCATGCCGGCCCACAATTGCTTTTAGCAAATATACGGCAAAATTACTGGCCTTTAGGAGGCAGAAACTTGTCTAAAAGTATCGTTAGCAAGTGTATTACATGTTTCAGATATAAAGCACAAAACCTACAGCCTATTATGGGACAGCTGCCTACAGAAAGGACACTACTAGAATTCCCTTTTTATAACACTAGTGTAGATTATGCCGGGCCCATATTGATAGCGAGCCGTAAAGGGAGAGGGTGTCAATTAATAAAATCCTACATCAGCATCTTTGTTTGTCAAGCAGTGAAAGCTGTTCATCTGGAGCTGGTTACAGACCTCACGAAAGAATCATATATGGCAGCTCTAAACCGTTTCGTATCTCGTAGAGGTAAACCGCGCAATATCTTATCTGACAACGGTACCAATTTTGTCGGTACTAGTAATGAGTTGCAAAGATTTTTACATAGTTCAAACGTCGCATCAGATATGGTTCAAGAAGGTATACAATTTTCCTTTGCTCCGCCATACTCGCCTCATTTCAATGGTCTGGCTGAAGCAGTTGTTCGTTCTACGAAACATCACCTAAAAAGGTTACTTAAACTTACTCATCTTACATATGAGGAAATGTCTACATGTCTCACTCAAATAGAGGCAATACTCAATTCCCGTCCTCTTACGCCGCTATCCTCTGACCCTTGTGATTACTCTGCCCTTACTCCTGCTCACCTACTAATTGGACGACCACTTACATCTATTCCGCATCCACAGGTGGCCGACGTCAACATCACTAGATTGGACCGCTATCACAGAATAGAACATATTAAGCAGCACTTCTGGCGTCGTTTTAATATAGAATATGTTTCTATGCTGCAGCAGAAAACAAAGTGGTCCACTTCCTCAGGCAACTTGGTGCTGGGGACTCTGGTCCTTATTAAGGACAAACTGCTGCCACCTCTTCTATGGTCGCTGGGTCGTGTGGTCCAGGTCTACCCAGGCAGCGACGGTGTCACGAGGGTCGTCGAGGTGAAAACCAAGAACGGGACTATTCGTCGCGCCTTCAACAACGTGTGCCCACTTCCACTTCATTGAAGACTACTCTTCAACCCGGGCAGTATGTCTACGCACTCAACGCACCGCTCCGCGGGCTGCGGGGGCGGTGCTGCGCATCGGCAACTGCGGCCGGTGGCGGACACCGGCACTTCTTGTCCGACCGGCATCGACACTTACCGGCTTACAAATAATCCCTCCATTCTAAAATTTATCTGAATCTGTCCGTTGTTCATAACAGTTTTTATATTAAACCTATTAATACAGTCCACTAGTTTCATTGGCTATCCAGGACGTAACAACATAAATAAAGAAAGAAGACTTTTTGGCTCGGAATATATTTCAAAAATCAATTACTTTAATTGTTAATCAATTTATATACTCGTTCTTATTTCATAGTACTTGTTTTGATCCGAATATATACAGATACCGTAACAGTCTATTAATTATCTAGATATCTTTATCATTATCTTTGTCTAGATATTTTATTTTGACGAAACTCCGTGTAGTAGTAGTATCCGATAAGGGTATGCGAACCCTAAGTATTATTACAAAATGACCAGTAATTTCGAAGAAATAAGCCTTTGAATTTCAAATCAACTTACCAAACGGACGCTCAAGGTTCGATTCCCGCCATAGAATTTTTTTTGTTTTGACTTTATGTTATATTTTAAATTAACTATTTTAATAATTAAATGAATTTAATCGAACAAAAAGTTGTCAAGTATTAAATTAATTTTAATTTACATTAACTATTATACTTTCTAAATTGTAAAGCAGCTAACAATTATAGTAAGATCTTATAAATAATTAACACAACAACATTTCAAATGTATTTTCTTTATTATTACAAAATATTTTTTGTGCATGCAATAATAGTTAATGTCACTTAAAATTTATTTAATATTAAACAACGTTTTTATCGATTAAATTCATTTAATTATTAAAATAGTTAATTTTAAATATTACTTTAAAAAAAAACAAAAAAAAAAGTCAATGGTGGGAATCGAACCCGGGGTGTCTGTGTGGTAAATTGGTACACAGATACACTCCTAACTAGTAAAATTAATTTAATACTTAACTACGTTTTTCTCGTATAAATTAATTTAATTATTAAAATATTAAATTAAAAAAACAAAAAGAATTAAATAACAATAGTCAATGGTGGGAATCGAACCCGGGATGTCTGTGTGGTAAGTTGGTACACAGGTACACTCCTAACTAGTAAAATTAATTTAATACTTAACTACGTTTTTCTCGTATAAATTAATTTAATTATTAAAATATTAAATTAAAAAAAAACAAAAAGAAGTAAATAACAATAGTCAATGGTGGGAATCGAACCCGGGGTGTCTGTGTGGTAAGTTGGTACACAGGTACACTCCTAACTAGTAAAATTAATTTAATACTTAACTACGTTTTTATTATAAATTCATAATCGTATAAATTAAATTAATTATTAAAATATAAAATAAAAAAAAAAACAAAAAAATAAATAATAAAAAAAAATTTAGGATTCGAACTCGGAGTATCTGTGTGGTAAATTGGTAAACAGGTACACTACTAACTAGGCCATATTGGTGTTGTTTGTTATGGTGAAAAAACTAGTATATATATAAGTTACACGTACAATTTCAAAGACTTATTTCTTGAAAACTACTGGCCATTCTGAAATAGAAATAGAAATAGAAAATCATTTATTCAAATAAACTTACATTGAAGCACTTTTGAATAGTCATTACATTTTTTAATCTACCGCTTATTCGGAAAGCTGTCTCATCACAAGAAGAACGAGCAAGAAACTTGCGTGTTGCTCTTTTAAATAATTTTATTATTACTTTACATTTTTAAGTTCAAGTGTGTGAATACAAACCAACAATTAGCACTAATTCAATTAAATACTCAAATAGAAAAAATATTGAATATATAACCAACTGGTTAAACAATTAATAAGAGAAAATCAGTCATAGTGATTAGAGCAGACCAGTCCCTACAAGCAGCACCCGTTCACGAGTATGACGGATGAGCCAGCCATCACTGCGCTCGACCATATTTTAGGGAGCCCAATGACCCGGCCCACCACGCCGCCACAAGTCTGGACATTTTAGTGAGCATGACTACTCAAAACACTAGACTACGTCAAAGCTACTTACAATTGCCATCTGATAGTTATAGTATTCACATTTTACATAAGAATGCATGCGGCAATCAATACAAAAACCGCTACGCTTTCATGTTTCTAAAATCAATCAATTAAATCAAGAAAGCAATGAGAAAATTAAATTATAACGTTGTATGCTAATAAACTAGTTATTTACTTGAAATAAAACTTTAGGGTTTGTATATGTAATGTTTGCATATAAAATATGATTAAAGGTTACCAGTGTATTTACACTTTTACTGAACAAACAGAGTTGTTTAATAGTGAAAATATTGTGTGGAAGACATCAATTACTTTCAGTACATGTATAGCTTTTCTCTTTTCCTAATTATTATTATTATTAAGTTTAAAGTGGTTGAATTTTACGTAAGGGGTATTTATACATTATTTCTAATTTACCATTTATTTTAAGTTTTTTAAACTCTATTCATCGAGACCTATCTAATGAGTCCAAACACGATATTTCTGCTGTAAGTTTTCGAAGAGTATGTTCATCATCTGCTAATACTGGTGCCAGTATGAAGTCAAGGTTAACAGATAACTAATTACTCTTATTTCGTCAAAATCTTTAGATTACGTATAATAAATTCATAATATCGCTACCTATGTATTCGAATCAAAACAAGTATTTTAGGTACTTCATGTACTAGTATATAAATTCATCAACACACAAGTAAATGATTTTCTAAATATATTCAGAGCCAAAAAGTTTTTGCATTTAAAAAATTTTGCTGATACGGAGTCACTATTGCAGGAAATTGTTGAAAAAATATATATCGAGTACAGGTACTATCGACTAATACTTTATCTAGGGAACACGCGGGAACGCGTAACGGCAACATGTTGCCGTTCCGCCACGATACCGTTATAGTGGTAGAAAGAGAGAGACAGTGGAGTCAGCAAATGTATCTACGGGTCGTGGCTGGATCAACATAAGTGTGCAACTAAGTGCGCGTATATATATATATATATATACACTTGTCTTTAATTCAAAGGAAATATAAATAATGAACGCATCACATTTAAAACAGTAATAAGTACGTAATATTATCACATTATCAAACAGTAAGTACGTAATATTATCACATGGTAACAGCACGTATTATGGCAAAAATGAACATCGGCTGATTTGAAAAGATTTATTATAGTAATAATAGTAATCTCAGGACAATTCACACAGCTTCATCTAGACCCAAGTTAAGCTAGCTGAACATTGTGTTATGGGTACCAGACAACTGACACAAATACAAATATTTTTTTCGTAAATTAATATATATTATCTATACATAGAAAACACTCAGACCGTTACAAACAATCATACTCATGAATACAAATGTTTGCAGCGTGCGAGGAATCGAACCCTCGACCATCAAGCAGGAATCAAAGCGGTGTGCTAGCTAAATCGCTAGACTACCGACAACTAGCTGTACACGCGACTTCGTTCGCGTGGAATTTAACTTCGTATATTTTAGAAAAATAAAGTTAAATTACAACACGGACGAAATCCCGTGTACAGCTAGTCATCAATAAAAAAAAACACGTAGGTGTCTCTAATATATTATACACTAGCTGTTCCCGCGACTTCGTCCACGTGGTTTTTAACTTTATTTTTCTAAAATAAAAGTAGCCTAAGTTACTCCTTATTACATCAGCTACCTGTCAAAAAAGGTCCCATCAAAATCGGTCCAGCCATTTCAGAGATTAGCCGGAACAAACAGACAGACAGACAGACAAAAATTGTATAAAAATAAATTTTAGTATATGTACCGTATTTATATTCATATGCTCGTAGTCAAAAACTATTATTTCAATATTATAAACAACAGGCTTCAACATCCTCAAGTACCACAAAAAAGATGTTTTTTCTATCGAATAAACCGTTTTTATTAAAAACAAGCTGTTCCCGCGACTTCGTCCGCGTGGAATTTAACTTTATTTTTGTAAAATAAAAGTAGCCTAAGTTACTCCTTATAAATCAGCTACCTGCCAAAAAAAGTACCGTCAAAATCGGTCCAGCCATTTCAGATATTAGCCGGAACAAACAGACCGACAGACAGACAGACAAAAATTATAAAAATTGTTAATTTGGTATATGTACCTTATATATATTCATATGCATGTAGTAAAAAACGGTTATTTCAATATTACAAACAGACACTCCAATTTTATTTATATGTATAGATGTATAGATTATTATTTATTTATTTATTTATTCATCCAAAATAATACAAATTGTGTAGGATAACGTAATAGTAACATTACAGTAAAATTTTGTCAACAACATAATAGTAACTTAAACATTAAATCTCGGTATATCTATAGACTAGCTGGCCCCAGCGACTTCGTCCGCGTGAAATTTTATTTTATTTTTCTAAAATAACAGTAGCGTAAGTTACTCCTTATTACATCAGCTACTTGCCAAAAAAAGTCCCGTCAAAATCGGTCCAGCTATTTCAGAGATTAGCCGGAACAAACAGACAGACAGACAAACAAAACTTGTAAAATATGTTATTTTGGTGTATGTACCGTATTTATATTCATATGCAAGTAGTAAAAAACGGTTATTTCAATATTACAAACAGACACTCCAATTTTATTTACATGTATAGATTAAAAAAAAAGTAACAGTCATAAGGCTAGTCGTATGCCTAATATATATAATAATGTAATAAATTCATTTAAACAGAAATTGCGGCAACATTATTTAAATTTGTAACTTTTTTACTGTCCTTCTCGTTTTTTCACATCTTTCTGTTATATCCCTATAGTTCTCTCTATATTTTCTGTTTTACTTACTTTCAATTTGAGGCTGTACTTATAATTTGATTATCGGATCATTATGTATTTATTTATACATTTATGGGTTATATTTACATATATATTTATGTATGTATATTGTTATTTTTTTATAGAAATGTATATTTTGCTTATCTTTATTATCTTTATAAATCTTTTTTTGACATTTCTTATTTATATTAGTGCACCGCCAATAATCTTTCGCTGCACCACTCATGGTTGCCTGGTAAATAACGCGGCAAAATATTAAGTCCGCCACATGTACAAATTTTTTTGTGCATTAAAGTTAAAGAAATAAAAAAAA